TATATATATATATATACAGTATATGAGAGTCATGGGTACTTGTTTTATTTTTAAGAGCATTAAAAAGCATTAAATTAGAGTTACTCATTCCTGAATAAACCCTGCGTCTGCTGTGCTCTTTATCTCCTATATCTCCTGCAGTTAGCCAAGATGCTAGCCACAGGGAGCCATAGCCTCTACTCTCTGACTCCCTTGCGAGCTTCTCCAAATTACCGCTGCCCTCCTCCTGGCCACACGTAGCCTCTCCCTTTCCTTCATACTCTGTTAACTTGTGAGACTTATTAGATCTTCCGCCGTTATCCTTCAATTCTCCACAGTTAGCTTCTGTCAGCTGTAGCCTCTCCAAGCACTGGCACTATTAGAGCTAACTTTAAAGCTTGTCTTTTAAAAGACGGTTTTCTTGGTATTCAAAAATCATTATGGCTCAACCAACATGTAAAATCTACTGAGTACTGTATACCTCTGTGGTTGCTAGACAAATGTTTACCCCTCCGATTAGCTGATGATTCTTTTACACTTGAACTGGAGTAATAGACGGGTTGCTGGCCGTTTTACTTCTTCACTAGTTTGTCACTTACAGACTTACATCTCTCAACCCAAAATAACAGCCAAAAGCTTTGTCCTCTAGAAGGTATTTTTCATTTTCTAGCGGGTGGGCATCATTCTTCATTCGGTTTTGTCTCGGAGGAAATTGAGCTCTGATGGAGAAAGGACTAAAGTAAAGGAATACGACTTGTGTTTGTAGAAAGTAAATGTTGAGTTCAAATTCAGCTTTCATAGTTTTCTTGGCTTGATGATTTTAGCAGATTTCCAGCTCCTCAGCATAAACAGACTGTTTGAAATCTGTTTGTCTGAATGAATGTTTGCTTTACCTCTGAGCGGATCTTTGTAAAAGAGGAAAGAAAAAGAACCACTAGTTTGGAAAGATGTCATACCTCTCTATCAAAAGCCATTTTCTCTATTATTCTGCACAGAGCAAAGTTTTGTTTATTGTTGACTTTTACAATAATTCTACCATTAGAAGTTTTGGTTGACTCCCTAAAAACATCATCAACACCACAGAGCTCTGGAAGTCATTAAGCCAGATGGATCTAATTGACTTTACAATCAGCTTTTATAAGATTATCTGATTTGTGTTACACATTTCGGCACTGTTGCCAAGCAACCAGTAAAATATCCAGGTTCATTATTGCTTAAAAAATAATTTTTCTTTTCAGAGCTCCATACATAGAACGTTCCATTATGACGGCGTGAAACATGTGGCGTCAAATGAGCATTCACAGAAAAGAGCAAACTCTCTCCTCACACATACAGCTATAATCTACTTCTACACTATAATGTAATTCTTATTAGGTCCTAATGATACTGCAAACTTTCTCATTTAGAAGTTAGTTTGCTTCATTAACAGAAATATAAAACAACAAGAACATTTACGACCCTTAGAATTAATATTGGAAGCAAAAACGTGGAAAGTAGAAAGAAGTGGTTTAAAGATTCCCACAGAAACCCTGATTGCTGTTTGCTAAAAAAAAAAAAAAAACATGCTGTGGTAAAGGCAAACGTGGTGCTCTGTATTGGAGAAAACTACCGCCACATGTCGCCATCAACATGCAGTCCTCATGGTTGAACATGGTGGACAGTATCATGCTACAGGGATTCTTCAGCTGAGACAAAGGAGCTGCATAGAGGAGATGGAAAATGGATGGAGCTAAAAATGCAGGACTTTCCTGAAGGGAATTCAGAGTATCACCTTCCAGTCGGAGAAAAGTCCCAATCATACAGATAGAACTTTGTTAAAGTCCAGGCATAAACCTATATGAAAACATGATGCAAGACTCTGAAAGTGTTTTTTCTCTGATGCACTTTTACCTTTAGTTAACTTTACAAAGAAAAAAGTGAGAATAATTCAGCCTCTGGATTTGCAGAGCTGGGAAATGCATACAGTATGCATCCTAAAACGATTGCAGCTTTAATTGCAAGTTTCTCTTAGCACTGAGAAGTCTTGTAGGGAAAAAAAGAATGCGTGACATGTCTGTCAGTTTTTTTTTTTTTTTTATATTTATTTAGAATAGATTTCTCTCAACTTCTCAGTTTCTCCCAAAACCTTTTGGTCTATTGCCTAAATCAGGGGTATCCAACCCTGGTCCTCATGATCTACTAACCTGCAGATTTTAGATGTGTCCCTCCTCCAACATGGCTAATTCAAATGATAGAAATATATCTTCATCATGCCATCAAGTTTGGCAAAGGACTGGTAGTGAGGCCATAATTTGATGCAGCTGTTTTGTTGCAGAGATGCATCTAAAACCTGCGGCACAGTAGATCTTCAGGACCAGGGTTGGAGACCCCTGACCTAAATGATATGCAGTTTTGTAGCTGTAGTGCAACAAAGTAGAGAAAAGCTGAAGAACACTGCGAAAAGATCTAGAAATAAGTCTATTTATCATTAAGTTTATTAGGTATATAGGATTATTTGCAAATGGAATGAGTGTTTTTACTCTTAAAATAAGATAATTAGATAATATACACTTGAAATAAGACAATGCAATTTGTTTTTAAAGTGGAAATTTTCTTGCGCCATTGGCGAAGTGTCCAACTTCCCTTCTCAATAAAAAAAGCACTTATTTTAAGAAAATTTTACTTATTTAGATTTCTTCTTTTTTTTTTTCTTTTTTTTTTTTGCAGTGAAGTATGACCAATTTAACAAAATTAGATCTGATTAAACGTGTTGTGAATTTGCATTGGCTTGTGATAAAGAAATGGTAAACAAAGCAGACTGAGCCATGTCACTGCTGAATGCAGATATAAGTTAAAATTCTCACCTCCTTCGTTTCAGGCCTGTTGATGAGGATCGGCTCAGGCCTGTGACCCAGCTGGACCTCCTCTTCGGCCTTGACAAGATGAAGGAATCCAAGCAGGCCACATCCGTCATCCTACCGCGGGTAGCAGAGGTCCCTCTGGACTGAACGCTGCTGTTTGGGGAAAATGCCATTCATTTTTACTTTCGGTTTTCACTTTACGTTCCAACTCTGAGAGCAGACCAGCTGTAGAACGTGCCTTTTCAAAGGGTAAAATGCAAAAATACAGTTTTTCTGACTTCCTCATTGTGTGGCAAAATGCAGCATCCATGCAATGAGGTGGAATATAAGAGACTCTGCAAAACTGACTGGTAACTTGCATGAGACAGAGCTGTCAATCATTGTTTGTTGAGGAGCACAAAGGGATGGTCATCAACATTTTAGATAAGGTCAAATGACATTAACTTCCCTGATAGGTGGTCAGAAGCAGAGCAGCTAATAAACACATAACCTGCAGGGCATGGTGGCCCTCGGAGCAGAGTACTCCCCCACATGGTTTAATTTATTCCCAGGACAGGATTATCTCCTTAAATTGTCAGACGGAGTGCAGATCCATCAAGAAAAAAGGAATTATAAACAGTATTTTGAAGACAATTGCTTTTCAGCCTTAGTGTTGTTCTATCAAGTGTGCTCACATTTTTATTTTATTTTTTCATGGGTTGCATCTTTATTTTCATCTAGTAAATCCATGCATTTATAGTCTAGTTGTAAGCCAGCATGTGGGATCTAAAGCTTTGCTCTCAAGGAGGTCTGATCTAAACGTTTCTTATCAAATAATTATGCTAGGTAACATTTTTGGCCTGAATTGGCCAAAAAAAAAGTGTCTAATGGTTTGGTTTTAATAATGCTTTTGTGCATATGTCTTGAGATGAAAACTGAGCCAAATGTAGTTCACAAGAAGTTTTTAATGAAAATCAGCCATGATATAAACCAAGGCAGCATATAAATATCAAACTCCTCAACAGTTTATTAGGCTGTAATAAAATGCTTAGTCATATCGTTTTTTTTATTTGTTGTTTTTTTTTTTACAGAAAAGATAAACTTTTAGTCGAGAGGTTTCATTCAAACTAGGCATGGGCCAGTTAGTTCTTTTAAAAATAACTTTTAATTTTCCTACAGTTTAAAATGCTTTTTATTGAGATTCGAAAGAAGCTGAGAGGAGATTTCTGGGCTGAGCACTGCTTCAGCTGGCTGAAAGAAGAAAGATCTTGCTGTGTAAAGACATTGTGGGAAAACATGTACTGTAATCATCATGCTCATTTGCAAACCACTTATAGCAGGAATCATTGTTGTTATTCTGTTTTAAATTATTTTCCCAGGATTTTGAATTGAACATGGGTTTCCTCACTCAATAAAGTGTAGTTTTTATTAAGCCTTTTAAATTTTTTTTTTTTTGCCATATATTTTTTGTTTTTCTAGTAAGTTGGAGCCTCATCTGTGGCCATCTGGTCACAGTATGTGTAAAATGGATCCACTGTGGTTGTTATGCAGCTGTTTCTCTTGCTTATGCACTGAGTGAATCGGGTCATCCTTATTATTCACCCATGTGGTGGCGCTGTAGATTCACTATCCTGTTACAGAGGCAGCTGTTACATTGCTTTTATTTAGAGCCATGTTATTGCACTATTGGAAATAAATGAAGTGCTGTGTTGTTTCTCCCTTATTGGTTTATCCAGTGATGTTGAGACATCTGTTGCTCTTCATTAGAGAACCTCAGGTGACAGTTAAAGGTCAGAATGATGCCATGTGAGCCACCGCTGCTCGTGAGCTTAAGAGAAATCTCAAAACGTTTTCTCTCGGTGCAATATCATTGATGAGATCCCATCAGTTATCAGCGTAGACACTCCCCATTAATATAAAATGATAAGAATATAAGAATGTCTGTATGTATTCAATGTGAAGTTAAATTGTTCTGTAAATCATATTTATTAAATTCTGTTTATTCTCACATTTTAGCTTGTTTCCTATATTATTCTTTAATCACATTAGAACCATTTTTTTTTTATAGATATGGTTCTGTAGGATGTGGAACTTTGTCCTACATAGGGAGGGTCGCTGCTTGATCCCCATCTCCGTCCATCTTAGACGTCATGTCCTTGGAGAAGAAACTTCACCTGCGGTGCTTACTGACTTACAGTACAGACCAAAAGTTTAGACACACCTTTTCATTCAAAGAGTTTTCTTTATTTATTTCATGACTATGAAAATTGTATATTCACACTGAAGGCATCAAAACTATGAATTAACACATTAACACAAAAAATTATGAAACAACTGAAAATATGTCTTATATTCTAGGTTCTTAAAGGTAGCCACCCTTTGCTTTGATGACTGCTTCGCACACTGTTGGCATATTCTCTTGATGAGCTTCAAGAGGTAGACACCTGAAATGGTTTTCACTTAACAGGCGTCCTCTGTCAGGTTTAATAAATGGGATTTCTTGCCTTATAAAAGGGGTTGGAAACATCAGTTGTGCTGTGCAGAAGAGTCAGGTGGATACACAGCTGATTGTCCTACTGAATAGACTGTTAGAATTTGTATTATGGCAAGAAAAAAAGCAGCTAAGCACCCCAAACACACCTCCAGGCTGTGTAAGGGCTATTTGACCAAGAAGGAGAGTGATAGGGTGCTGTGCTAGATGACCAGGCCTAGACAATCACCAGACCTGAACCCAGTCGAGATGGTTTGGGTGAGCTGGACCGCAGAGTGAAGGCAAAAGGGCCAACAAGTGCTATGCCTCTCTGGGAACTCCTTCAAGACTGTTGAAAGCATTTCAGGTGAATACCTCTTGAAGCTCATCATCAGAATGCCAAGAGTGTGTAAAGCAGTAATCAAAGCAAAAGGTGGCTACTTTGAAGTACTTAGAATATAAGACATATTTTCAGTTGTTTCACAGTGTTTTGTTAAGTATATAATTCCACATGTGTTAATTCATAGTTTTGATGCCTTGTGTGAATCTTCAATTTTCATAGTTGTGAAAATAAAGAAAACTCTTTGAATAAAAAGGTGTGTCTAAACTTTTGGTCTGTACTGTATATACAAATACAAATACAATTATTTTCAAAATTTGCCTTTAAAAAATCAAACTATGTGACTACCTGAATTTGCATTTTTTCATCAAGGAAAATTTGTTGGTACCCCTCATTTAATGAAAGAAAGAAACAAACAATGGTCACAGTAAAAACTTAAATTTACCAAAAGTAATAAAAAACTAAAAAATATATATATTATATTTTTAAAGAAATGAAAGTCAGACGTGTCCTCTCAACCATGCTTCAATGATTTAAAGAATGAAATTATGAAGCTACAACAGCTTCTCCACGTTGCATGTTTTTGTTGCAAACGTGTTTAAACCTTAAGACATTTTTGTAGGCACATCTTTAAAAAGGTAAAACATAAATGTTTTGTTGCCTATATAAAAAAGTGGAATTATGAAATGGATGAAATAAAGTTTCAGAGAGCAATAGTATAGTGTAGAGCAATAATAGCATAGATCTTTCATGAATTATATTTCTAATCGTCCCATGCATTTCTTTGTATTGAATACCTGCTCAGAGCTTCTGAATGGCAGAATACTTTGGAGGAAAACAGCCTTTGGTTCCACTGAGGTGTAATTTTAGCCCATGATGCTTTGAAGGCGACACCTTCATTGTTTGGTCTGGTGTCCCTGATCTTTCCTATAATACAGCATAAAATCTGTACATGGATTTTTCTAGTCAGTTAAGCTAACACTGTGGTCACAGGTAGAGAGGAAAGGTACTTAGACTTGTCAGAAAATATCCAGCATAAAGCATGAAAAGCTCTTGGAAGTTTGCTTCAATATTCTTTTAGAAAGTCATAAAGAGGTTATAGGTCGGAGATCTTCAACAGGGGGTCTGCAACCCTTAGGGGGTCCACTGAGGTACTGTATGGGGGTCGCGAAAGTTTTGATTGATTAGACTTTTTTTTTTTTTATATTCCCCCCTCGCAATTTTTCCACTAATTGAAATGTCTTTAAATCCACATTAACATGAATTCAACACACTGTAGTAAACAGATAAATGGAGGCAGAAGATGTCTTTCAGTCTTCAATGCACACATTCAGCGACACACAGGAGCTCTTTAATGCTGGGCACTGTTTCATTCACAACACCTGTCCCATCAACCAGGAATCAGAATCAGAAATACTTTAATAATCCCAGGGAGAAATTACTTTCATTACATTACTCCATATGTAATAGAGTGACTATAGGACCAGTTTGATATAACACAATTTCATACAATATATATAAAATTAGGGGATCCCCACTCCATCTCGCCATTAGTTTGGGGGTCCTTGGCCTGGAAAACTCTGCAATAGGTATTAAAGGAACAGGTATAGGCAGGTTGAAATCTTATTTGTACAACAGATTTTAGTTTGTTATTGATAAAACAACTTAAAGCTTTAGGATTATTTGTGGAATTTCCCAGAATTCTAGGGCTAGGGCTAGGGCTAGGGCCAATTCTCATCTGCTTATGCTTCTAATTGGTAGAATTATCAATACAGCAGTGGATTCTTTTCCACTGTTATGTTGATGATATAAGCTGCAGTTGTCCATAAATGTTTTTTTTTAATTTAGACAGAAGTTATGGTCTGTGGACTAGAGTCTTTGAAAAATGAACCTAAATAGTCACTACATCTGGATGGGATTATATTTGCCCCCAATAGTAACCCTCTGTATTATTTTTGATCAGGAATTTTCATTTAAATCTTAGTAGCCTTTTCGTATTATATCCCTGGAACATCGCAAAATTAGAAATATCAAGGGGTGATGCTGAAAAACTAGTCCATTTATCTGTGACTTCAAGGCTGGACTATTTTAGTTCTTTACTATCAGGAAGTCCACAAAATGCAGTTAAAAGCTGATTCAAAATGAAAAGTAAACTATGTAATCATGTGTTTCTTGAGCATAACAACATAGAAGCTGAAAAGTGTGATGCATATAAAATGAAGCACAAAACAAGTACATTTAAGAGATAGAAAAAATATACTGGGCTAAAAGCCAATGAGAAAAAGGTTTGTTTTCAGATGGAGCCTATCTGACCACCAGTGGCAGTTTATTCCACATCTTAGGAGCCAGAACTGCAAAAACTGCCTCATCTATGTTTATAACAAGACTTTGGGACAGATAAAATTATCTGGTGTGCAGATCTAAGAAACCACACAGTTGTGTAGGAGTGGAGCAGTACAAATTAATGAGAAGGGGCCAGCCCATGTTGGCACTTAAGAGTAATAGAGTTTTCTTTAAATGGATTTGAGATTTAACAGCTAATGGAGGGATGCTAAAACTTGAGCTCAGGTTTATTTTTAACAGTTAAAAATCAAGCTGGGGGTGTGCTTCGGTAGCACAGTGGTTAGCGCACAATAGACATAAACAGAGGCTTTAGTCCTCGATGTGGCCGACCCGGGTCAAATCCAACTTATGGTCCTTTGCCGCATGTCTCTCCCCCTCTCTCATATCCCCTTTCCTATCAGCCTACTGTCCAAAAATTAAAAAATCGAGCTACTAGTGCAATAAAAATAAAATAAAGTTGAGCTGCATCATTCTGTACCAGTTAAAGCCATGAAACAGTATGAATAAACTGAACTGAAGAGGCTTAAGACAAGAAATGTGACATTTGGAAACAGTGTGAGGATTTATCTATAATAGTGACTCTTTGTGCAATGAATCTAGCCTCATTCCACCTTTAAAGGACTCAAAAAATTTTAATTCAAACTTTTTTTGCAATCAACTTAATACTTATACATGTGCATGTTGCTCTTATTCCTTTTCCAACCACACTTTTTTCTCCCACTAACTTTCTATGAATATGCTGAAGTATAGCACTATCAATAACCAGCTTCATAACTTTTGAGGCTTACCTCTTAAGGTAGGTATCAGTCACTGTCTCTAGCAGCCAGAGACATTTGGAGGCCCAGGAAACCTTTCCAGATTTTTTGTATTTCATTCTCTGATTAGGCGGGACAAATAAAAGTATTCAGTATTTAACTTTTAAACGATATACACATTTTTAAGGGCTCAATTTTGGAAAGAAATAAATATTGTTGTCTAATGAATCTGTTGTTTATGAGTTTTACTGTCTTTCTTTTGTTCTTGGACACCCTTTTCTGCTACAGAGCATGGACTGCTCCACATCATTGTGCCCATCATGATTTTTACCATGTATCAGAGGATGTTTGGAAGAATGTTAAAAATAATTAAAGCTGAGGCAGGACTGGGCCCTTAAACATGACGAGGATTCAGAATATTCTACCGAGGAGTGTCTGAAATTCAGAAAATGTTAAGTTCTGGGTTAAGCAAATTTCTAGGTCTTGATCTCTTTAAGATGTGGTAAATTAAACAGTGCAAAAAAAAAAAACTTTTGACAACTGAGGAAGGGAGTAAACTCAGAAATGGGATTTCAATGGATCTTTTGGGACTTTCACCTTAATTAAGTGATAGCAGCAATGTTTTAAAATGACGAATAATGTTGCTTGTGTTTTAAGCAGATTTGAGAAGATATGAATATGTCATCTCCTTTGATAGCTTACCTACTAGTAGTGCATCTATTAACTTAGAGTAAAAATGCTCACAAAGTCCATTTTAATTTAACCTAAATATAAGAGCCTGACATCTCCATATTAAAGCAGTTTTCACTTCTCTATGAGATGTAACCTTTGGTAATACCAGTGCAGTGTGGCACCTGTAATCCCTGTGGGAATTTTATGAGTTTTCTCATTAGAAAGGAATGCATTTTCTGTTTTTTTTATTATTTCTTTTTTAGCAAGCAGAGGAACGTTGCTTTTTGGGTCAGACCTCTTCTAAACTGTTTATAAATTCTTGAGCTGCTGCAGTCAGTTTCTGCCTCCTTGAGGGATGCATTAGTAAGCTATAGTTGGCTCTGATCAGCTCCTTTTCCACCATTCAGCAGCTGTTTGTTGCAG